TGTTGTTGTTGTTTTCTTGCTTTCATCGTCTCTTAATACAAGAGACCATTTTTTTAGTCAGACATATAGTAAATTACTATTCTATTGTGAGAATCTCCAAGTTGTTTTAATCTATTGTAATAATTTATAGTATCCATCCTGAAATAAAATTTAGAGGAATAGCTAAAATATGAAAAGAGGTTTATGAAAAAAAATCATGTATTATGCAACACCAAATAAAATCTAATTTTTCTTATAGCTCACATAATAACCAAGAGAATCTATAAACACAAACTGACGTCAGTCTGCTTAGCTAATTAGGTCAATAATAGCAGGAGGCATTAAAGACGTGTTCAATGCCCCTTGGACCCATATCTCATGTCAATCTGCATTAGGAGAAAAAAAAACTAGAACAACAACAACATTATCAAATGAGCCATAAAATGACAAATTTATTTGAGGTCAATCTAAGATAGACTTTTAAAAGACATTTTATCAATTTGAATAATACCATAGTCTCAATAATCTTTGTCTTCCCTTTCTGAAAAGAGAACTAAATTTAATCTTGTTGTAGGCAACTGCACGATAAGATGAAAAAGCATGGGGCTAAGGGTTTATATTACATATGTTCTATCTCTTACTGAGTTTGGGAGAAGCCACTTACTCTATCAAAGGTTGAGTTTCTTTACTTTATAAAATGATTGTAATTTTATGTGTCCTTTTTACCCAAGAATTGTTCTGAGGCGCAGACAGAGTCATAGACAAGAATGTATTTCCTTGCATTGGCTGGACCAGAGCTTCACTTATCCTTGCTCTATGAGTGTGCGGTATTCCGTCACCCCAGCCCTGTGAGTTCTCACAGCGGTACGTTTTACCTGAGGACAACACCTGTCCCTCACCTGTGGGTTTTACAATCCATGCAGCCCGCAGGGAAGATCCATTGTCAGAGAAAGTGAGGAAGACGTCATCAAGGGGGCAGATAGGTCTGCTCTTCCGCGTTTTTAGCTCAGACATTTTCAGGTGCTTTAATTCTCAGGAATGCCAATGAAGACCATATGTTGCAGAAAATAAATATGTAGGACGTATATGAAGTTCCCCGTCCCTTTCTCCTGAGGTGTTGTAACTTCCACAGAGTCCAGACATTGGGAATACTCACATCCTGAAAGCAGTCATGACTATTTTTTATCTTGGAATCCTCTGTAATCCCACCCCCAAATCACAGTTTGAAAAATGTTTACTATGAAATACATGAAATTATCCTTTCTAAGGTAAAATTTTGGGCCACCGCTCAGGAAACTTGATCAAATATACAAAGTCAACTTAATCAGAAGAAATTGCTCAGAAATTCAAGATTTGAATATAATCTGATTGAAATTAATGAACATGATTAGAGGAAGGAAGTCTAAGTGAAAATACAGTGAGAGGGATTGGGCAGGCAGATAGTAGAGCAAAACAGGGACCAGAAGTAGCTGAAAAGAAGGCGGAAAAGCAATGCTAAAGCCAATCTAATGGAGAAAATTTAGCCAATGTGTCCAGTATTTTGATTATTATATTATTGTCAGAGCATTGTGCTTTCTGAGTAAAATATTCCTTCCATCTAAGTACCTTTGTCATGACAGCAGGTTTGGTTAGTGTCCCAGGATAGAGTGCCTATATCAAAACACAAGGGAATTGGAGCAAGACAAGAACGATAGACATTATTAGATGTAAAAATCTAGTGCATGTTAGGACAGAGGATGGTCTTAATTTGAGAAGGTCAAAGGCATTCAAGAGCCTCAACCTACTGATTCTTCACCTCCAACACACCCAAATCCTCAAGTTAATGTATCATAAGTACCTCTAGTCTTAGCAAGTGGATGTATACATACTTATCAACTTTCAAAGCACAGCTGTCAGCCAAAGCTGTATGGTGCTCTTACATATCAGCTTCAACAAATATTAGTTGAGTAAATAAGGCTTGTGCACGTTGCTAAAGGTCAGATCAGAAAAAACGGGAATAATCACTTTACCTATGTCTTCGGTAAATGTTTATGGCAAGGTATATGAGTTCATTGTTGTGCTTACAGGATCAGAAGATAGTAAACCTTGTACTAAAGTTAAGTAACTACATAAACAATTGTTATCTGCTGCCTCTGACTCATGGCAACCAGAACTGTTCTCCTGAAGCTTTGTCACGGCAGTGATCCTGCAGAAGTTGATGGTCAGGCTTTATTTGGAAGGCGCTCGTGAGTAGTTTCGAACCACGTAGCTGTGTATTAAATAAAGGCGATACCCGTGTAACTAGTGATGTGGGAATTACAGAGAATCAATGTTAGGATCTGAAATCAATTTCTCCCATGTTTCATAGTTTAGATGACCTCAAGGTAGGAAGAGATACAACTGTATTTTCCCACTGTTTCAAGTTGCTTTTCCAGATTAAAAAAACAAACAAAATAAATTGCAAAGTATAGACACACATTTATTTTCATTGTTTCCATAGGAACTTTGAGTATTTTTGAAATTATACCTACTGGGTAGTTTTCAAGGTCTTTGTTTAATCTTAAAGTCAAAACTCTGGTCCCTCTATAATTTTTTCATATCTAACTGCAGAAAGCTTTAGTCATCAGTAGCACTCAATAACAGTGCATATAATATTCTTTATTGACATTAGATTTTAATTTCCAAATCACATGACTATTTGTTTTGGTATGGCTATTTTCAATTTATTGCATGAAGGACTTAAACTAATCTAAATTAAAAGTGGACCCCAAATTGTTACCTAATACAAGAGTAAGACAAAAAGTATTGCTGTACAATCACATAAACCTTTATCAAACAAAACTATTAAACTATGAAGCTCTTTATTGACATAGTCATGTCCACACCCTGGTTTCCCTAAGGGATCTAGCCTTCTGACACTGGTGTTTCCAACTCTCAGTCCCTTCCACAAAGAACCCTGCATTCTTTGATTTATATCATATCAAAATGGCAGTTTTGTATCTTTAAAGATTCACATAATACTCCTTTTAAATGTTCTGACTCAGTGCAGGGCAACATCTTCATCAGCTTTGGTCAAACTGAAAGGCTGATGGGAAGATCGGGCCTTTGAGCTACCAGATCTTCCCACAATGCTTTTGGCACCCATCAAGTCAAAACCATGCTGAGGCCAAGAATTTGCCTTAAAATTGAAACTGCACAGCCACAAGCGATTCCCAGATTCAGCAGGTCTCAATGGTACCTCGACGGTCATCTTCCACCTGTTTCTAGACTTCAACCATTCGCATCGTTGATTGCAGTTGATGGTCTTCCCTTTTGTTGACTAATCGTTGAAGTTTTCCTAACTTTCCTTGAAGTGCTTGATGACTTAGAAGCTGGTGTTTTAGGGAGCATAACATTCCCAGAAGTGTGTTGCAAAGCTTCATTGAGTTGAAGAGATATGCGTTTGAGTGTTATTCAAAAATGGGTGGATCTAAACTATTAAGGACATGATAGATATTAAACACATAAAAACAAACAATTCAGTTGTTGAGTGCACTTCGCCCTCTAAAGGAAATGGGCAGATGTGACTGAAAGTGAAGTGGGGCTAGGATGTGAAAGATGAGAAAGTGGAAGCTTGGTCATAAGGGAAGGTGAAGTATTAAGCATATATCCTGGTTCCGTTCTTGAACGACTGCATAAATCATGGTGCTTCTTACCAAATACAGAAAACGAAGGGTGGGTCAGGTTTTCAGATGCCTCTTCCCAATCACTTTCAAATTTGCTCAGACAACACCCGGTCTTCCTCTGTGCTGCCTCGGGCTTTCACATGCTCTCATGGCAGTGATCCAACAAGGAAAACAGGAGCTCGTTGAGGTCTCCGAATTCTTAACAATAACACACATGTCCTAGTAGTGAGACCACAAGCTTTATTACACATTAATTAGGACAAAGAAGAAAGGGTAGGCTTCATTTCACACAAAGCTCATCTCCCCTCAGCTTCAACAGCTCACATAGGAAATGGACCAATTGGACAAAGGGGACCCAGGGCCTCCATAGCCCTGTCCAGAAGGTTTGCATGCTGGGAGACCTAGAATAAGGGAGCGATGGAGAAAAGGGGAAATGCCTCTTGATGCAGTCTGGCCTCAGGATTCGTGAAGGTTATGTGGTCATTATCCCAAACTTGGTAAGGTCTACAAAGAACATCCCTTCCACTTCCTGCATCTGTCATTAGATCTTTCAAACACACCATTGTATAGTTCATTACATATAGACTTTACCTCTGCATGGGCCCTCACTCCCCTAGAGAACATTCTTTGATCACAGTTTCAAGGTAAAGGTTGCTGTCTCTGAAACGTTGTATAATAGAATATTTAGTATATATTATCCAAGTAGCTTTCGTGCTTTTTTATTTCTACCAGAAAGAAAACTCTTTAATATAGCAAGTTGACAGTTGTTTGAATGAACAATTATTGAAAAGGTTAAGAAAGATGACATGTAAGAATCACCGTATCAAAGTCATAAGACTTCCAGTTTTCTTCCATGTTTTCCTAACTCAAGTATGTATAAACCAACTGCAAACTCTTAATACATTACTTACTGAAATTCTAAACTAATTTGAATAAATCAGTTGTTTAGGGTCCCTGTGTGAATTATTTCACTCTAGTTTGCATGAAGTATTCCTGTTGAGCAAGTGGTTAAGCCCTAATCTGCTGAATCTGCCCAAATGGTCAGCAATTTGAAACCATCTGCTAGCTGCTCCCCAAGGGTGAGGTAGAGGGAGGGATGCGTCTTTACAACCATGGGGACTCACTCAGCCAGTTCTAGATGGACACTGTGAGTCAGGCATAGGTTTGAATTTTTGGAGTCATCTGGAAAAGAAAAGGAGAGAGAGAGAGAGAGAGAGATTCTTTTGCAGAAGTGCCTGAGTTAAACAAATGAACCAAACACCGTTTATGTTATACTCAGTAAAAATCAAATGAGTTATTTTTAAGATACAAGGGCATCTATGGATAACACTAAAGTTTAGTGTCAATGTACAATTCTGGCATTGTTTCCTGTTGAAGGATGTTTGATGTCGGTGGACAGAGATCAGAGAGAAAGAAATGGATCCACTGCTTTGAAGGAGTCACCTGCATTATCTTCTGCGCTGCCCTCAGTGCCTACGACATGGTCCTCGTGGAAGATGAAGAAGTGGTAAGTCTCAAAGTAAAATCTCAACTCTGTGCCACTTTCCACAACTCCATGCTTTACGATGCCTAACAGTAATATTTAATAAATAATAACTCTACATATCTGTACACCTAACAGAACAGAATGCATGAAAGCCTCCACCTTTTCAACAGTATATGTAATCACAAGTATTTTGCCACCACCTCCATCGTCCTGTTTCTCAATAAAAAAGATCTGTTTCAAGAAAAAGTGACGAAGGTGCATCTTAGTATCTGCTTTCCTGAGTACACTGGTAAGATACCATCTCTTAAGCTCCCTAACAATAAATTATTTTATAAGCATATATTTTCTTATCTGTATCTTGACATTTACTATGAGGAAGATAAGACTTGTGGTCATTTTTGAGTCATTCGTGTGACTCAGGGTGGAAGAAGTTTACAATAAGGTAGCAATTGGGCAATTTCCAATTAAGCCAAGCCCTAATGAATAAACAAGGAAGCAATTAGAACGTTGTGATTTTACATATCAAATGAAGCAGAAAACCAAATTACCTTAAACATTATAATAGAAATTCAAATTCAATCTTGGCATTTAGGTGGCTTTACTAGTGTAGAACTTAGTGTACACTAGTTACACTTAGTGTACTTTACTAGTGTAGAACTTAGTGTCTCTTCAAAGGCTAAATTCACTTTGCAGAGAGGAGTCAGAGAGACGCCATGAGGATCAAGGTCTTGCTTCATTTGCTGGCTTCCCGGGGCCTCAGGTTTCTGTGCTGATCTTGTTAGCCAGAGACCATAAGTGGCAAGGTTATATAGAAGGATTTATTTTTTAACTTCAGGGACAACTTTTTACATAAAATATTTTTATGGTACATAGCTGTTTTGATTTACATTATGATCTAAATGCAAATCCAATTAATAAAATTATGTGAATGAAATTGTGTAACATAAAAGTATGATTATTTAAATGAAAATTCAAACCCGATTTTACCACTCAGGTACATGAGGTAGCACAAATGTTATTAGGGACAGACTGTTCTGTCAAAATATATATTATGTTAGTTAATATATTATTTGTGCTTCTATATATTTTCCTATAATTATGTGCCATCTATCCATACACTTATTTAACAGTTAGTTAAATATAAACATGAATTAAGCTGAATATTGCACAGTAAAGATAGACTAATATTTTAGGGTAATCTACTATTAAAAATGTCCTCAGAGAATTCTAGTTGTTGCAAGATGTAGGGCAGGGTGTCATTCATCCTTAGAAAACCTTCACTCCACTGCTCCAGGCTGTGTGAAACTTTCACTCGGCATATTTTCCAATGAACACAACCATCGGGCATTTTTATTTGTGTTGTGTTTGTTTGCTCGCATGTTTTATTTGTGTTTTACTCCAAATTGACACTCTGGGTGTCCTTCTACAAGATGAAACTTTCTCAGGCACAGCCTTTGTCATTTTACTGCTCGTGAAAATTTCTACCAGGAGCAACTCTCAACAATATTCCATATCTCACATCAGATCCATCAACCACATGATCCATAACAGGTTGACTTCACCTGTTTTACTTGATTTTCCCAAATTTTCCTGGGAAAATCTGTCATTTCCATCCAGCCAGTTTCTCCAAAGCTCACATTCCCTCCCCAAATCTATCCTCAGGTCTATTGGTGTAGGCATTCCTACATTTTAATTCTCACTAAGATCGTGTATCTCCCCCTTCCCAGCTCTCCACCAAGATTTCACTCAGATATCACCTGCTAATGTGCATCCAGGAGCCCTGGTGGTGGAGCAGCGAAATGCTTGGCTGTGAACTGGGTGCTCTGTGGGAGAGAGAGGCACGTGGGAGCCAACCACCATAGGAGTTGTAGCCTTGAAAATGCTATAAGGCAGTGCATAAAAATGTACTGCCATCAAGGCAATTCTGCCTCATGATGACCCAATAGAACAAAGTAAACCTTCCCTTATTACAACTGTTTACAGGAGTAGAAAGCCTATCTCCTGTGGAGTGACTAGTAATTTTGAACGGCTGACCTTGAAGTTAGCAACACAATACATAATTTTAATATACCCTTTGTCCTATAGGGTCCCTATATATTAGAATAAACTGAATGGCAACATGTTTTTAAGCATATTCATTAATAATAGTATTTATCTTCCTTTTCCAGTACACATTAAAGCACAAGTATACAGATAGTCACACAGAGAGCATCTGACATATATTAGACTTATATTACTTATCAATATTGGACAAACTTGTTAGTACATCAACTGTATTGTAAGTTTTTTGAGGCATGTGTCACCTCTTAGGTTAAGGATGGTTTTCAGCACAATGTAGACACCACTTCTGGTAGTTTGTCCTTGCTGTGAACAGCACCATACAGAATGAAGGCGTGGAAATCCTTAAAATTTATGACTGGTAATATTTATGATTTTGTTCTTTGTAAACTACAAATAATGTATATTTCCTTAATTTTTGAAATTCTATTTAACAAGGGCCTAATACATTTGAAGATGCAGGGAACTACATCAAGAATCAATTTCTAGACCTGAATTTAAAAAAAGAAGATAAAGAAATTTATTCCCACATGACCTGCGCAACAGATACCCAAAATGTCAAGTTTGTGTTTGATGCAGTTACAGATATAATAATCAAAGAAAATCTGAAGGACTGTGGACTTTTCTAATTATTTTTTCTTTTCCATTTATGCTTGTGCATGCTTTCCAAGTTACAAACAGTGAAAGGTTCCGTGTGATGGGTTTGGTTTGAATAATTATTAGCAGACATAGATGTATACATAGGATTATAAAGCAAAACATTTTTTAAATGTCTTTAATGCAGTGTCATCTGTACCTGAATACATTTAGAATATTCTTGAACATTAAGTTAAGGAGTATCTTTCATTATTTCGAGTATACGAACTTACATATTTTGGAACTCTGGAGTCCCAGTTCTGGTGTATCAATCACATGGTATTTGCTTGGAAGTAAATTTCTAGATTGTAATCTATTCTTAATCACAGAAGGATTGAAAGTTCAACAATTTTCATATTGTTTCCATTGACTATATGTTTAAAATTAATTTTTACTGATAATGTAATCATCCTTGTACCATAGAGACGATTTAAAAATCAATCACAGGGTATCTGATTTATCAGTCACCTCTCTATTCAGCTTAACTGTAAAAGAAATGTTTAACTTGTCATTGTTTGTTCATGAGGAATTAGGCATGCGAAAGAAGTGCAACTATATTATCGACTGTAAGTTTTTCCTTTAAAAAATTCCTTAAAGCTGGGTTTCTCCCTTAGAGTTGAGGATTTCCATAATATCCCTTCCTGTGCTATTCTAGTTGAAGAAAGAGGAACATTCAAACTTGACCTTATCTGAGTATTTACTAAGGTATGTGAATCCTACAGAATTTTATTATTTTTCCAATGGTTGGCTTTTGCAGAAGTTAAGGATGCCTAGAACTTTGCCCCAGCAGTCAGATGCAGGAAGGTAAATGGAACAGCCAACCCTACTGGGGAAAATCCCCATCTCTCACACCACCCCTACTGATCCAGCTTGTATGGACACAAAGAGCTATGAGGGCTTAACAAGAGTCCTCAATAAAATATCAATTCCTACATTTTATTTTAGATTAGTATGAAATAAAATAGCAATTGATGATAATGTGGGCTACTGGATGTAGACTGCAAAAGACAGAAATGACTTAAGGTATCAGCACTGTTACATATTTTAATATTGCAAAATATTAAAAATATGCTGCATGCTAATAATCAAAGCCTACATTTCAAATGCTAACGTGTGCCCTACATACTTAATAATATCATTAGTGAACTGAAAATATAGTATCTATCTTTTAAAAAGTATATACCATTTAAAAATATGCTTTTCATACATGCCGCAGTAGTGTTTATTCTGGACACTGGCAGAAACTGACATATAAGTCATAATATTATATGAGTGCATGATATTTTAACTACTCTGAAAAGAGAGTAAATAATGTACTAACAGGATCAGTCAGATACAGGGAACATCGACAAACAATTCACTCCTCTGCTGCAGTAGATTTAGTTGCCCTCAGTGTTGCTACTTCGTGGACCTGGGACACTTTCCTATAACAACGGTCTTCCTAACTCAATAGACAACCTTCACAAGAATCCTTTTGGTTTATTTTCAAAAACAGAAGAGCAGTATCAGGAGTCAAATAAAATATTGAAAATGAATTTGACCTTTGGGGAAAGAATATAAATGATGAAGGCACCTAAAATGACCAAGGAACCTGGTGGGGCAGGGCTGGAACGGTGAGCTGCTAATGGAAATGCCCATCATTTGAACCCACAAGTTGTTCTGCACTAGGAAGAGGTGCTACCGTTGTTCTGTGAAGATGGCAGCCTCGGAAGCCTGTGGGACAGGCTACTCGGCCCTACAGGCTTGCAATGAGTAGGGATCAGCTTGCTGGAACTGTGCTCGGTCTGGGGTTTCAGAGATACATACCATAGGCACAAGAAAGCATAATAAATTATTGAGATCAGGCATCAAATAACTTTATCTGGCAAACACCCAATATCTGTTGATGCGAACCTATCATTTTGCTAGAAGATTTTCAATGTCACGATTTTAAATTAAGAAAAAAATACTATAATCGTATCTTGTATTTCATGTTTGTTTTCTCTAATGGTCCTTTAATTCTGGAGCCATTTAGTGGAGCCGTTCATGCGAAGACCATTTTTTTCAGAAAGGGAAACAAAAATGTCTTGAAATATTACTACTACTATTATTAGACTTTCACTCTGACTCTGCCTTAACGTTTTAGAAACACAGATGGAAAGAGCAAGAGTCAGAAAAGGTTCAAGTTGTCTTTATGACATGCATAATTGGATCATATTTTTGTAACAATTGACAAGAATAAATATTTACTTTTGAGATTTTATTATCTCTAAAAGTCAAAATAACACACATTAAACATAGAGGTCAGTTGAAAATATTTAAAAGTTAAATTTCTTCCACTCTTCTGATCAAACTTATAAACCTTTCCTTCACAACAAAAATGTAGTTCAGAGTCTCAACAATGAGTGTTCCAGAAAGAGAAATAAAATAGGTGTTGACGTTGTTTCTTGAATTAGAGTCATCATTTAAATATTTTAATTTCCTATTTAAAAATATAAAAATGTAAATGCACAGAATTTGGGGCTGGTCAAAGAAAGCAACTAGCTAAATATTGGGGAAGTTTTACTGCAGCCTGAGAAGAGCCAAGTGGAAGACAAAAGAACTGAAATATATGTCTCATTGAGATATTTGATCCCTGAAGGGAACCCGGTGCTCTTGCAATCACAGCATCACAGACCCAGGCTTAGCTTTGCCTTTTAATGCTGGAGCATCATTATACTGACGTGCTCCTCATTCTCTTATCTGGGGCTTCTCTTCGTGAACCGGACTCTTCGCAAGCACGCTGGCCTTCAGGTTCAGCGCTCCTTACTTACTCGCGCCGAAGGCTTGCTACATTGCACACAAGGCGTTGTTACCTCGGTTCCCTGATGTGGTTTTATGTCTACTCAGGGATTATTAAAAACGGGTGCTCACAGTTTTTCCAGAAGCATGAACTGACTAGTTTAGATATGTCTAATACCTTGAGAGTGACTGAAATGAAGAAACATGTGGACTAAGTAATCTACCAAAACTCTATAAAAAAGAGATATAACATTCTCACATATGCATTGTAGACATCCAAAATACTTTAAATAAAAACAAATACATAAATAATGGTCGTCAGTTTTTCAGGACATGGGCCTATCCTAGTATAAATCCTCTTACTTGATAGAGTATCCTATTTAATCCCGAAATGTATTTTTAAATATCTACAGAAAATTACTCAGACAATACTAAGCATATGAGAATCAAAATCTCTTTTGGTTGGAGTATGTATTTTTAATATGCTATACCACTTCAGAAGCATAGTTAAGCATTTAAAGTCTTGAGAAGTAAAATTAAAATAATTTTAAGAACCTGGTTAAAATTGTAAATTCTTCGCCTCTTAAACTAACCTTTAAACAAAAGGTTAAAAGTCAATCAACCAAACAAACTAGCCATCTGCCATTAATTGAGTTGGCACCAACTCGAGGTGGCCCCTTTGTGTCAGCGGAGACTGTTGGATGGGGTCGTAGGTGGCGGAGTTTGTCGCAATAGACCGCCGTGTCTTTCTCTCAAGGACTTTCTGAGAGTACTCTGACCTCTATGCACAAAGTTCAATATCCCAACAAGATCCTTCACCCTTTGCTCCAACCAGAGTTAAACAGACAACTCTTGATGGAGGAAGCATTCACCTGTTACTAAAGCAAAGTTTTCCCTTTCCATGTAGACCTTTGCTAACAAACTACAAACCTAGGCTATTGCTACGTGGGGCACACTTGCATCATGTGTTTTAATCACACATTAAAGCATATTAAATTCGGACGACCAATGATGTTGCAAAAACAGATAGTAGAATCTTGTTGAGAATTATAATTCTTTTTGTACCTTTCATGCACTGGCATAGAGTCGATGCTGACTCATAGGAAGCCCATAGAATAGAACCGAAGTGTGGTTTTCAGAGACCATCAATCGTTACAGGGCAGAAAGCCTCCTCTTTCTTTCATGTGTACTTCTGTCTCAGTAGTATATGATAATAGTCTAATAATTGTATTACCCAACATTTCAGTAAAAATAATAATTATCATGGCTAATGAAAGAGCCTCAAATGAGTATATATAGCATATGTTATTTAGATATACAGACTTAATTTAGCATGTTATTTTTGTCATTTCCAATCTTTAGTTTAAATCTAAACAGTTATTAATTTGATACAGCATGACTTTTCACTTATCTATACTGTGCCTGGGTCCCAATTAGCTTACACCGAAAAGGAGAAACAATGTCTGATATCTGACAATTTTTATGTTTTGTCAATAATAATGAGTTGGTGATTTAGTAATTTGTATTCTCTTCATTAAAGCGAAGTAAAATTCCAGTCTGCTATAATATTAAGCCTGCTGTTTAATTGTTTTCCTCAATTACCACTCTTTCAAATAAAGAAGAAAATGAGTGTCCTGACTTTTTTTTTTCAACATTACTGCTGCTGCCAATTTATATTTCATTAGCAATAGTATATTTATTTTCTTTTCTTGTTTAGTAAAAGTACAATTTTAATTTAAACTGCATTTGTTACACTAGTTAAGTAACAAATAGAGTCATGTATAAGAAAAAGGAACTCCTAACACCCTAATTTACCTATGAAGACAGTAATGGCCCTGTCATTGCTACATCTTTCAGGTAAGGAAAGATATGAGGTACACTCAAGCAAAGCATGTATTTTATTTGAAAGAGTCACATTTTCTAAAGTGGTCAAACTCAAACAAACCCAAGCATACACATGATGGAAGCATTTTTTCAAAATTATCTGACTTTGTTTTCTCACAAAGAAAATGGTCAAATATTAAAAACTATTATAATATCAACATCAATGGACAATGCTTATATTTTGGTACATTAAAAGCCTTACACAGTAGAAAAGAACTAGACTATTGTCTACTAGACTAGAATCAGAACATTTAGAATATACAAGATCATCATAGAAAACACCCCATCAAAAAATGTCCAAAAAAGGGTGATAGGCCCTACAATTATTTTAAACCCCTGAATTGCATTTTAAAAGTATTTAGGTGAATGTTTATGTTTACATAAAGCAAAAGATTTGTGAGATAAAATACCAGCAAAATAATACATTTTATTTCCCTTAGAGTCAAATTATT